GGTGAGGGTGGCGCGGCACAAGTTTCCAAAGAACAATTGCTCTAAGAGCTTCCTTACAATCATGAATTTTCATAAGGTGAAAGTAATTTCCTGTATTTTTTGGCACTCTGTTGGATCAAAAGAGATATCACAGACCGCATGAATAAGAGAAAAGGCCTTCCTGTACAGCATTAGTCATATTTAGGAGATGGAAGAGCCCAAAAAGAAAAGGTCGCTGAAGCTACAAAAAACCCCTTCTCTATCTATTGTGCTTTGTCCTACACAATGCCTTTAGATGTGCAACAAGACTGCCAATGGGCCATCTCTGATACAAGTTGTTCCTATTTTCTACCCAGTTACTTTAAGAGTCTTTGCCTGGTCCATATACCCTCCCACCCTGAGAGCAGGAAACAGCTGCATGCACATCAACTGCTGGGACACACACACAAGTTTACCTGATTTACAGCTTCTGCCTCCCTTATTTCCTGCCCCACGCATCAATCAGTTTAACATTTTGCACATTTATAAGAAGGTAAGAAAAATAATCTGATTAATGAAAAAAAACCATGTTCATTTCTGCAATGATTTAGGGAAACTAGACTTCTCTAGTTTCTTACACAGCTCTTCATAACATTGCAATTAAGACAAATAATTCATTCTGGGAAATTTTAAGCAGTAATTGCAAAACATTTGGATAGCTGGGTAACCAAGTCAGGCTGCTGGAACAGGTGTGAACAACCATACACATGGTCTGACAGATCTGAAGATGCCTGAATATTCTCTTCTAGCACAGAATTCAAAGACATCCAGTACTTAAGTCAAAATATCTGTTTCCAGTCAAAACAACAAATCCCCAACAAGTTCCAGAGGATCTGAAGTCAAGAAAAGCTCAAAACATTAAAGCACACAAACCTGAAGGGAGACTCCCACCACCACCCCCAGAAAACCCAAACAACAAAACCCAAACCCAAACCCACACCACACATTCAAAACCCCCTACTTTAAAGATGACTCCCTGATTAAGTTCCTGCTCCAAAGACTTCTTGAGTAGCCTTGCTCTACACCTTGTTCTGATTCACAGAAAACTTGGTTGCTTCTGGGAAGCACATGGGGTATTTCAGTTCATCGATCAGGCAGCAACAACTGCAGACGGCACCGACTGACTCGATGAATAACTTGTAATGTATTTAAATGAGGAAAATATGGAAACTCCTGGTGTTAGGACTGTTTCGTATTAGTATTTTTAATCAGAACAATAGCATTAACTGAACATTCCTTTATCTTTTAATTTTTTCCTTGTCATCCAGGGAAAATAGATAGTAATATCAATTAGATCAAGAAGTCAAATTTATTTAGCTTTATATCAAGCTGCATTTGAATGCAGTTTTGAATTCCATTGATAAATTATTATTTATGCAAAGCTATCTCATGCTTTTGGCATTATACACACATACGAATATACGTGTGTGCATATATATATGTACACATATAAAAAATACACACACAGAGTTTATGAACTGTTCATCAAGTAAGGTTTTCCATTCAAGGCAAATTACTGTAAAAAAAAGTATCTGCTGCCCCTCTCATGTTGAACTACACTTTTTCTCTTGAAGATGCTGACCATAAATGAGCCGCTTTGGCTTTTTCAGTGCAAATTCTTAGCGTTTGTCCAAAGTCATCTAGCCATTCAACTACATTCAAAAGCAGGCTTAGCACTTCAAATGCTCTCCTTTTCCAGATCTTAGCCAGTTATTTCTGGTTCACTAGCACGACTTCCCATAGAAGTGGCAGCAAATATTTGCAATTGATTCATCAGATACTAAAAATATCTTTAAGCAGATTGAAGACTTCAACCACACTATTTTAATGGTTCTAGTGAAAAAAAAATTAAGTAGTTTTTTGAACATTGCAATTTATTTTGAAATATGGTTGCAAGCAGCAAAACAGAAATGAAAGCCATCAAAGTTATTTATACTATATTTAAATACCTAAAGATAATTATATCATGGCGTGTTCACTTAAAAAAAAAAACAAAAAAACAACCCCCCAAAAAAGGTCCAAGTCAGATGTGTCAGTCTTTTATAGGCTGGTGTGTCAAGAAAAACCATGGCAGCTCAAGAAACTTCCTAAGTTAAACTATGTTTATAAAAGATTGTTGAGCTTCTGTCTTTTCAGATTTAAAAAGACTCAAATCTTCTTGTATTTCCCTGTCAGTACACCATTTCTTTAAAAAAAATTCTAACAATATTAATAAATAAGACTTTTAAAATCTGAAAGACATTATTTCATTTCAACCAGCACAGTACTTAGATACGAAGCACCATTCTGTCACAGTCACAACAAAGTATGTCACTGAAGCATGTCTGTACTGACTTTTTTTTTAAAAAAATTTAACTATTAGTCTATCAGTATATTTCACATCTGAAAGTTGTATCAACAAAGCCTGAGATGACCCTCACCTTTTTTGCTGTTGATACAAACCAGCAAGTTGTTTCTTTTTTTTTCCTCATCCTCCTTGATAATAAATCAAGATGTCAAAATGCTGTCTGTCATCCATGCCCTGTGTTTTCTGGGACAGTGGTGGGGGAGGGAAGAATGACCTCCGAGTTATGAATTTTACATAATTCAGATACTCCATTTTAGTACACCAGAGCATAGTACAGACCATTAGTCTTCCTTAACTTCTTGCTCACCACACAAGAGTTACCACAAACGCTTGGATGATTCATTCTCTCACTGCTAATCTCTTCTCCCTCTGCAATACATATCCTCTGAGTAACAGTTTTGCCAACTGGGACCAAGTGAAGGAATAAGAGATGCTGTTCCCATTGTTCAGTAGGATGAGTCACTGCACATCTGGGAACTGGGGGAATCAAGAAACACAAACAGAAGGCCTAAAATGAGCCCAGAAGTTCCACAATGCAGCACTGCTATTGGATTTTTTTTTTTTTTTTTAAACTGCCCTATCTGCAGTATAAAGTTTGGTGAAGCCAGAGAAAAAAGTACAATTTCCTTAAAAACTGGCTGGTGGAAGAGAAAGGGAGGAAAGGTAAAATGTAAACATACACTCTTGCTTCCTGAAATAGTGCTCTAAAACTCTTCTTTTATATGCTAGATTATTTTGAACATAGCATTCTCAAGGGGCAAAAGCAACAAAATTAAGTAGTTTTTATTCTATATATTTTGTACGACATGAATGTCATCTTAACATTAGCTCCAGATAAGTCACCATGAAAATAACTAATTGAATTTAACGTCTCTGTCCCTTCAGGCTAGGTTCACAGCACATAAGACATCTCCCCACAGACATATTACAACTAATCTGGCA